AATATTTGGGACATTACAAGAATAAGGGTGTTCTTTTACTTACAATACTCTAGAAATGTGAGCAGAAAAGAAATAAAAATGATATTTTTCTCACATTAAGTAGATGTGAAAAAAATATATAAATACAAATGGTCAAATACTTTGTTTATATATATATTTGTAAGGACCAAAGCATTGCCAGCAGAACAGCTTACTAAAAATGGCAACATATAGTGCCCACATACATTAAATACTTATTTCTAAAAAAAAAGCTGCTATAGCACTCTTTATCAGTCTCTGGAATGCTAATGTAATGCTAACAGTAGAGTTCATTCACTCACCCCCCTCCCCCCCCCCATGTAGGAATGATTTAACTGATTGAAATTTCCTGTACTGTTTGAAAGCAGGGGATGAGCTTACATTTTCAGCAACATTACATGCTTTATATCAGTGACTAGTAGCGACTTCTGACAAAGAAATGCGTTCACCTTTGGGCTGGTAATCATAATTAGAGTGTAAATGATGGTGAGTGAGGCTTTATGGAGTAGATTTCATACTACAAAATATATGAAAACCAAAATGTTTGTATTGCGTTTGAGCAAGAATAGTATAACTTATTAGCTTAATGCTGGATGGTGAGTAACAACTATTTAGTTTAACCATATCAGTTCCAGTCATGTCATACACACTGTGCAATGTACTTGTCAGATAATTATAGAAAGAAAGAAAGAAAGAAGAAAGAAGAGTTAAACAAATGAAATATAAAATTAATTTTTTTTACAGTCATAATGATGTTTTAATTGAGTTTAGCTTGTCTAGAGCTGTGGTTTAAAGAGAGAGGGGATGGAGTCTGGTACCCAAGCATGTTAAGGGTTGGAATTCTGTTACATCAACAAAATGAGCGCACTCTCTGTTGTTGGCTTTAAAAATCAATAAATCCGACATGTGAATCCTATATAAGATCTAGGATTCATATCTTTATCAAAGCCAAATTTCAGCTTCACTTGTAACAAATCTGAACGCAAGAACGCAAATGTGCTAAACAAATTCACCTGATTTGTGCAGAAATCTGCTGTAAAAACAGCCAGTGCACACTTTAAAAATAATAATCAATAAAGTAATATGATTTTTGAAAAAAAAATATGTAAATATATTATCAATGAATTAACAACACATTTTATAAATGTAATAATCTATATAAATATGTCTATGAATACAACTTTCTTCCATGAATTATCTATGAAAAGAGTCTTAAAGGAACACTGTAGGCATTTTAACAACTTATTGAAGTTTAAGATTTTATTGAAGTTGTTGGAGTGCCTGCAGTACTGCTCCCCCATCCTACCCCTCAAAATCCAATATTAAACTTATTAGTAGGCTTGGAATCATGGCTTCAAGCCAAGCCTCCAAGCCCTCTGGGTATGAGAGTCGGGAATCTTACTTCCCATCTCTTATATTGTAACAAATGATGATGTCATGTGCGCATGGTCTGTAACGTTTTTATTTTTTGTACAGATGGGAAGGGGGCAAAATGATTAAAGCACCAGTACTGTAGCATTAGGAATACATGCATGTATTCCTAACGCTACAGTGTTTCTTTAATGACAGCTTTTTGTTATGATAGCTTCTGTTACAAATGGCAATTATCTGCCTTCAAAATTGATCCCACTGAATTATGGAATTTCAGCTGAAAGGCAAACAGGCAGCTGTCAATTTTGTCAATTATCATTGTATCTGAGTGTTCAGTTTGTTATTTGGATTAGTTCCATATTTCAGCGGTATGGTTGCAATGGGGACAGGCTCTGCTTTCAGTCTAGTTCGGAGCCAGTACAGTATTGCAAAATCCAGACACTCATAAATCTTGAGAATAATGTGTGGATTTTGCAGTCTATATTCCTCTGGATCGTACTGGTTTGTATGTAAACATTCAGTCTTTAACCCCTTAAGGACTGGACTGTTTTTGCGATGTTGTACATTTGCGACCAGGCATATTTTTACACTTTTGTGGTGCTTGTGTTTGGCTGGAATTTTCCGCTCTCTCATTTACTGTTCCCATACAAATTATATATTGTTTTTTTCAGGACAAAAGGGGCTTTCTTTACATACCATTATTTATATAATCTCATGTATTTTAATTTAAAAAAAATAAAAAATATGATGAAAAATTGAAAAAAATACATGTTTTTTGACTTTTACTTGAAAAATCTTTTACTCATCTACAAAAGCGAATTAAAAAAACTGCTAAATAGATTCAAAATTTTGTCCTGAGTTTAAAAATACCCCGTGTTTACGTGCTTTTTTGCTTTTTTTTGCATGTTATAGGGCTATAGGTACAAGTAGAATATTGCGGTTTCAAAACATAAATTTTTTAAATTTATCAATAGTGACATTGTAACACTATTATCTGTCATAAATCTCTGAATAACACCCACATGTACATATTTTTTTTAAAGTAGACAACCCAGGGTATTCAATATGGGGTATGTCCAGTCTTTTTTAGTAGCCACTTAGTCGAAAACACTGGCCAAAGTAAGCATTCATATTTGTTTGTGTGTGAAAAAAGTAAAAAAACTAAATTGAACGCTAATTTTGGCCAGTGTTTGTGACCAAGTGGTTACTAAAAAAGACTGGACATACCCCATTTGCAGTACCTTGGGTTGTCTTCTTTTGCAAATGGTATGCCAACATGGGGGTAATTCTCATTCCTGGGCTACCATACGCTCTCAAAGGCAACGTAACCAACCTGGCCATTTTCAATGTAAAAATATTTGACCCATATATTTGACCTTGTAACTTTCAAAAATACTATAAAACCTGTACATGGGGGGTACTGTTTTACTCAGGAGACTTTGCTGAACACAAATATTAGTGTTTAAAAACTGGAAAACGTATCATAACAATTATATCATCAGTAAAAGTGCTGTTTGTGTGTGAAAAATGCAAAAAAAGTCACTTTCACTGACAATATCATCACTGTGATATGTTTTACTGTTTTGAATCACTAATATTTGTGTTCAGCGAAGTCTCCCGAGTAAAACAGTACCCCCCATGTACAGGTTTTAGGGTGTCGTAGAACGTTACAGGGTAAAATACAGTGCTAGCAAATTCAATTCTCTGGAATTTCGGCCTGGGTTGGCAGGCAGGTCCCTTAAATTGCAATCAATAAAATTACTGAATTATGTAAAACTATTACATAAATACGCACGTAGAATTTAAATATATATGCATATTTATATATTTGAAGTCTACGTGTATATTTATATAATTATTTATGTAATTTTGTATATGTACATATGTATATTTCTTATTATTTTTATTTATTTTTATATACATAGATATATATACAAATTCATTCTAAGTGTATTTTGATATAAATATATATATATATTAATTTTAAAATACAGTTAGAATAAAATTTCATATAGAGATATAATTTTTTTTATTTTTTTATTATTATTTTAATTTTTTTTAATTTAATTTAAATTACTTATTATTTATATTTTATAATAATATATATACAATATATATAGTTATTATATATATTATATATATATGTGTGTAATTTAATTATAAGTGTATTTTTATATTAATATAAGTACATATTAATATAAAAATACACTTAGTATGGCATTATATATATATATCATATATACACATATATAATTTATTTTTTATTTTTAATTAACATTAACTTTATTTTTTTTTAATGATTTTACACTAGCAGGGAGACTGCCTGTCAGCACAGACAGTCCCCCTGCAGGCAGACACATGGACACCTATTGTGACCATGTGATCACTGTGTTAAGCGATCACATGGCCCCAGGAGTCCTAATTCAGTGTGGGGAGACTGTCTGGGCTGCAGGCAGTCTCCCCACAACCGGAGCCACGCTGATCGCCGCCGGGGGAACGACGGCGATCAGGTAAGTAACGGAGACCGTTAGGACGGTTCAGGACCGTCATCGGTCCTCAAGGCAAAAATGCCGATGACGGTCCTGAACCGTCCTCGGTCGCTAAGGGGTTAATAAATAACCCTGAGAAACCTTTAACATCCCCATTTCTGAAGAGTGCAATTCTTTATTTTACCAAATAACTAAAGTGACTTAATGCTAAGCATCTCAGTTGTGAATTCCCATTCAGCAGCATCACAAAACAAGAATATTTAAAAGTTGTAATACCTATACATGAATGAACTCAATCATAGTTATATAGGCTGAAAAGAGACATGTGTCCATCAAGTTCAGCCTTTCTCACATCGGTTTTTGTTGTTGATGCAAAAGAAGGCAAGAAACCCAGTTTGAAGCACTTCCAATTTTGCAACAAACTAGGAAAATATTCATTCTTGACCCCAGAATGGCAGTCAGATTTATTCTTGGATCAACAAGCTATTACCCCACAATTAAAAAAGTATATCTTAGAATATTATGTTTTTGCAAATATGCATCCAGTTGCTGTTTAAACATCTGTGCAAACTCTGATTAACCCACTTCTTCAGACAGAGAATTCCATATCCTTATTCTTTTTACTTTTTAAAACTTTCAGACTTAGACTAAATCTCCTTTCTTCCAGTCAAAACGCGTGACCTTGTGTCCTATAAATCTTTGATAAGTTGAATATGACTTTGAAGAAATATAAATCTACTACATCTTCAATAAGAAAACTAGTTGTGCAGTGCCCAGAGACAATTACTGATAGTTTAAACAGTTTACTTCCAAAGCTGTAACAATAAAATACTTGACAAGAAGAAACAGGCACACAACCAATCCCAGCATATACAGGCTCATTTAATATAATTTAACCCTTTCGCTATTAAGCTTTTTGATTGGAAAAAAAATAATAGCATAACATTTTTTTCCGTTTTTTACATCTACATCACTGGACTAATACGGCTACAATCTCTACTTGAACATTTATTTGAAGTAAGGTATGCATAACTAACATATAACCATATCATATTACAACTATTTTTGTATATATTGCTTTGCAGACAAATACAGTAGGATTGACAAAAAACAGATAAATAAAAATGGCACCCTGAAGGCATTACTAGCAACAGAGTTTACAAAAAAAATGTATATATAAATATACATATAAATATATATTTATATATACATTTTTTTTTTTAGTAAACTGTGTTGCTAGTAATGCCTTCAGGGTGCCATTTCTATTTATTTGTTTTTGTCACACCTACTGCATTTGTATATGTATGCATGTATGTATATATATATATATATATATATATATATATATATATATATATGTATATATACATACTAACAGGTCTCAAATTTAGACATTATATTAGTAAAATATTAGTTTAAATTAAGTTTAAAAAAAATTTTTCTACAGGATAATCATAATTAGAAATGAGTATAAATAAAAGTAAGTAAGGCTTTATGGGCTAGATTTCATGCTGCAAAATATATGAATATAAAAACGTTTATACATACATACAACCACTTCATGTGGGTATAACAATATTTAAATGCTACATGAAAGCCATTTAGTTATGTGATAACAAGAACTATGTTTTTTCCCCCCCAGAATAATGAAATAATTAATTAATTAATTAAACAAACAAACAAATAAATACATGTTTTTTTTATAGATTTATCATATTTTATATCATATTTTATATTTGCACAAATCCCAAGTCTTTTCAACATTTTTCTTTAATTTAACATCTGCTCCTATGAAATAAATGCCGTAAGCAACACTTGAACACTAATATATGAATATATTTCCAATTACAAATATGAGTTGAAAAAATAAATCCGTAAGAGATTTAGAAGCAATACATAGCAGTACATACCAGTTAAAATACACAAATAACTATTTTGTTATTCAAGATATTTAAAAAAAAACTGAATAATGTTTTTGTTTTAACCCCTTAAAACAAAAACAATTTTACAAGTTCTGAACCAAAGCAAAATCTTTGTTTAACTGTAATAAAATGGCTTCTTTTTAAGTACCCCCATATATATTATTCAACGTTTTTAACGGACAGTAAGGGTTTTCTTTTAATTTCCCATTTCTCAATGTATACCTAACACAACATTACATGTGAATAAAATGTTAAAAAGTTAAATAAAAGCACTTGCTTATAAAAATGTTATGCTATGTTATGTGACATACAGTGCAAATATATAAAAAGAGCTTAAAATAGTTTCACAGCTCAGTACTGATTGTTAAATTCCTCATATGTCTAGGATCTAAGTTAAAGAGATTTGAAGTGGTCATTGTGGTAGGAGTCAGTATATGCAAAGTTATTGAAAATTCTATGCCAGGGGCAAGTTAAACACTCAGCACGCTGTTTTGGACTGCCTAAAATAAATGTTGTGCATAAATTACACCTGTTTTCAACGACCAGAGTTCCCCATCCTCTATCCCACTCTCCCTTCCACTCTGTGCTCCCTCACTGCTCATTGATGTGTTTTTTTGTTTTGTTTTTAAATTCTTTATTTTATTGTGCATGAGATAACATACAAGCTGATGATGCCAGAACAGCATGGTTCAAGCCCAGTAACACAGGATTTTCACAAAGATGGCACATTTTTTGTATTTGTATGAGGATATGCAAGCTAGGTACATATATCTAATTGTAAGTCACCATGGTGACAAGCAGTAACATCAGTACCCATATTGTAGTGTGCATTGTAAGAGTAACTGTGATGTAGCTTAATGAGGTGCATGTATTTTTAGTATGACTAGTCTGGATGATGCTATACAGCTAAGTGGTTCAAGATAGGCATTAAGGTGTCATGCTATATTTCTTGCGAGTTATGCTAAGCCTATTATAATTGAGTTACTGTTAGCCTTTGAACGAGTGAACTACGAGTGAGACCCCATGTGATCCCCTATACGAGCAAGCATGAGAACATAAAACAAAATAAAGAGAGTAGGTTTCATCAGATTGAGGCATATAGAGAACGGGTGACCATGGGCACTTTGCCTGATATTATGTCTCAGTCACTATAGGGTCAGCCGATGCCTTGTTGGGGCTGGGTGCTTGCTCCCAATGTTGCTCATTGCAGCCCTTGCCGGTGTGCGAGAGCTCCAAGCCCCAGTGCCTTGCGGAGGTGTGATTGTTGGTGGTTGTATTGCCCCCCTGGCTGAATGCTGCACTGAGGACTCCTGTTTTAGGCTGGGGCAGCGCCGCTTGCGCCGTCTTGATGCGGTCGCCTGTTCGGGTCTTGCGCCTCTCAGGTTCGCCTTTATGGTCGGGCTAGTCTTCCCCTTCTGGGGCTTAAGTCGCTGATGAGTGTGTCGTGGGGGGCTTTCTTTTTGGTATCCTCTGGACCCCAGGCCCCGGTCTGCTGCTATTCACCCTGTAGCACGGATGTAGTCTTGAGAGGGCACCCTGGTGGAGCTTAGCTTTCGCGGGTGTAATGTTTGGAGGAGCTCTTGCGTCTCTCTGCTGGATGCCGCGTGGTGAGGTGCATGGCCCGTCGGCTGTCAGAGGTGTGTGCGCCGGGGGCTGTAAATGAGCCTTCAACCGCTGCCAGAAGGTGGTGAATATTGCATCAAGTCGGCGCTCTGTGTCCAGCCAGGCAAGTTGACCCCCACCGGTCCAGAGGGGGGGGAACAGGGGCTCAAGGCTTGGATCTTGGTCGGTCGTGGCAATGGGGGAGCGGCCGTCTCTCCTATGCCCACCATCCTGATCGCCTCATTCGCGTTGGGTGAATGGGGTTTGGTATGTCGCTTATTTGGTGTCCACGTGTACACCCCGATTTCACCACACTCTGGGTAGTTGTTCTGGTCCGATTAATTGCCGTTCTTGACTTGATAAGTCTGCTTTTTTTGCCGTGATTCACAGGAGCTACTGTGGTTAGCATCTTCCCTGTTCCACTGTCAGGCCCCGCCCAGATGTGTTTTTTTTTTTTTTAAACCTTCCTCCTACACACTCCCCCACTCTGCCTTCATCCCCTCGCCAGCCTGAAAGGTGTGCATGTCCCCCAGGCCGGCAGTTGGTCAAATACAGGAGCCTGTGATTGGACTGTGTGTGGTCTTGGAGGTGGGTGTGGAAGAGCTTTGCCAGGAGCTTTGCCCTTGCAGGTTAGTAAAATATTTTACAATAAATTGGGTTATAGTAACTCTTTATGTTTTGGTAGTTAACGCTAACCACCAAAATACCAACCCCTTTGACACAATACAAAGCCTACCCCTAATCATATGTTTAAATTAACGCCAACCGTATACCTGTTACTAGCCTTAGCATACACTATCCCTAACCCTGAACAGCATTAACCCTAACCCATCATTACCCTAACACTAACTCAACACAAACCCTACACTGCTATTAACCCTAATCTTAACTTTAACCAGAAGGAAATCCTTTGCTAAAATCTTAGAGAGTGGGGTGTTGACACCATCTAATGACTGTTTACAGCATTACAGGCATTTCCCTATAATGTTGAAAATCAAGCATACTGATTGCACTATACTTGAAGACACTGGTGGTCTCCATTGAGCACCTGCCAACCCAGAAACACTGCAGCTGGGCACAATCTGATCAACCTCAATGTTGATAGGTTCGTGCTGCATACTGCTCTTCGATAAGCCTGTCCCCAGCTGACAAAGGGAAACCCCAGGTATTGATTGGAACCTGGATCTCTTGTGAACAGGAATTAACTCTGCTCACACTGCATTGCAGTCAGTTGGGATTTATATCACCATTTAAAGTATTCCTTAATATTTAAGAACAAAACTCCTACATCTTAATGTAGTGGATTTGGTGCATAAATTTAGCTTTTTATTCAGACAATGTAAGACATTGACATTTCAGCCAGTAGAGGTGCTTCTTCATTGAAGACCTTCAATTTTCAAAGGTCTTCAAGTCTGGTGCTGTCGCACATAGCATGGATTCAATGCTTCTCTATGAGATGCCTTGGATTGGCAGCATGCAGAGATCACTGCACACGCACCCTTTGTCCCCTATGTCTCTATGGGAAGCATTAGAGTGGATAAAAGTAATCAGTATCAGAACTAAGGCAGAGCTGCAGAACATCTGAGGTTTTGGGACAAAATTACAGGTAAGTTTAATTGGTTATCATAGTGGACTCTCAATCTAAATTAATAAATGAATATTCTAATGTTAAATGGAGAGAAAAACAAGTAGCAAGAGAGCTGAGAACGGACAACAGCTCAATTAGCCTTCCCTTCAGTGGGTCCCTGCACAGATCTCAAGCTGGTTTTAGCACATCTAGTGCCATTACAGAGAGAACGTTTCTGAAGCATATCAAACTGATCCCACCCATACGGGCAGTCCGAAATGCCAGCAAGTTCCCTCTGCTTGAGAGATACAGCAACCCCAGGCGATCGTTTCAACCTTGTAAGGTATCATCAGTGAGGTAAAGCCAATATCCTTCTAGGCACCATGAGCAAGGGGTCCACATCTGGATTGCCCTTTTAACTTAAGGAGAGAATAACAAGTAGCAAGAGAAGTGAGAACGGACAACAGCTAAATTAGCCTGCCCTTCAGTGGGTCCCCACTCAGATCTCAAGCTGGTTTTAGCTCATCTAGTGCCATTACAGAGAGAACCTTTCTGAAGCATATCAAACTGGTCCCATCCATACGGGAAGTCCAGATCCAAAATGCCAGAAAGTTCCCTCTGCTTGAGAGACACAGCAATCCAAGGCGATCGTTTCAACCTTGTAAGGTATCATCAGTAAAATAAAGCCAATATCCCTCTAGGCACCGTGAGCAAGGGGTCCACATCTGGATTGCCCTTTTAACTTAAAGAGAGAAAAACAAGTAGCAAGAGATGTGAGAATGGACAACAGCTCAATTAGCCTACCCTTCGGTGGGTTCCTGCTCAGATCTCAAGCTGATTTTAGCTCATCTAGTGCCATTACAAAGAGAACATATCTGAAGCATACCAGAGTAGTCCTACCCGTATGGGCAGTCCAAATCCAAAATGCCAGCAAGTTCCTTCTGCACAAGAGATACAGCAACGCCAGGCGATCGTTTCAACTTAAGGGGAGAAAAACTAGTAGCAAGAGAGGTGAGAACGGACAACAGCTCAATTAGTCTGTCCTTTAATGTTGAAGTGTTAATTTTGGTTAAATTACAATTGCCTGCTAACATGGGATGGCTGTTTGCACTAAACTATTATAATTCTACAATGTAACACACAATCTCAAATATACAATAGAAGAATATAA